ACAACTCCTCTAGAGCAGATAAGGATGGAGTAGCTGGGACAATGTCCCATCAAAGAGTCCTATTGCTAGGCCTTCAGGGTGTCCTTACAGGCAGAGTTAGGAGGCTCCAATTCCTAAGTTTGTCAGGAAAAGAGAAGGAATTGCCAAGTTCACTGTTGCAGTGGCGGTGCCCTGCTCCCCACTATCCCCACTGAGCCAGCTGCCTGGGGAGGCACATCTCTGCTGTCCCCATCCCCACAGAACAGCAAGGGAGAGGCTTTCATTCCTCCCATGCTGTCACCCCAGCACTATCTACCCCTGCTAGAGACTTGGAAATTAAAATAGACAAAGCAAGCAGCGCTGCTTGTGGAGGCTAATGTACCGTAATGCTCTGAAACACAGGCAGCCACTGCCTCACCCTGAGCAGAGGGGATGTGTGTGAGAAATGTCGGTTCTTCTGACAGCAGTTATTTCAACATTAGCTTTCTTTTCTACTTCAAGTAAGGCATTTACTTTCCCCCAGATCATAATCTCCTTACGGAGAAGAGCGGAGGGCGGTGGGGAGAAGAGAGAACAATTACATTTTTTAACACAGTCAAGGTCGGTGGGATTTAAATCATGGGAAAACAAACAGAATTTAACTGCCTGGTTGAAGTCACATTCATGTCATGGGTATTTATGCCAATTGTCACTAACAACAGGAAGAGATCAGATGTTGCGGAGAGCCTGAGTGCTGGCTGAGCAGCAGGAGCTTACTCTGCCCATCAGCGTGTGATCTTCAGAGCAAGGCTGGGATGTGTGCATGTGCACATGCATCCCTGCATGTGACAAGATGTGTGTGATTGTGCTCGGTCCATGTATTTAGTGGCTGTCCTAGAAAGACCTTTGCTGGGCAGCCTTAATCTCACACCTTAATCCCACTTTGCACCTCTGATCTGGTGAAGAAAGGGTAGCTCATCTTACTGGAACTGGCTGAGCGTGACTGCAAGATTAACTCTGAATATCAATGCAGGTGTATCTTGACTGTCTCCTCCAACAGAGGAGATTCTCCAGCTGACTGTAACTCTAAATAGAAAATGTAATGTACACGTGGAATCTTCTGTTATTTGAATGGCAGTTTATCTCGGATCTCAGAGCAAGCTTTTCATCTAGCTGACAGATGCAAACACTGATCAGGGTATGCTATGTGTCATACAGACAAAGGATTTCCACTTCAGCGACCACCCCATGAGCCAGGTGAGCACACAGCATCCCTCAACATGTCTCTGTTGGCACGCTTCATCTGGTATGGGTCAAGACCTAGCTTACCCTTTCCCTGCAATGCAAATTTGCCGAGACATGTAAGTGTACTCATTTCTGCACAGAGGCAGCATGGACACCTTTCAAGGTCCAATCCATGCAATTTGGATGGAGTGGGTATGGCTGGGACCAGGGGCACAGTGGGCTCTAAATACCAACTGCTGATATTTTACTTCCCTGAGCATCTCCCCTCAGCCAGCTGAGCAGAGTCCTAATGGGTCAGTTCCACAGAAAACTCTGTCATTTCCACTCCAGGAAAAAAACCAAACAAACGCATACAGCCAGAACCACTGAGTTGCTTGAAAGGATAAAATCCACTTAGAAACCCCCCTGTTCCAATTCCCAAGCAAACATGTCCATGGTAATTAAATGGAGTGCTTTCACCCAGAACAGCTCCAGCATGGGAAAGGGTTTTAATGCACTGACCAAGGGGGAAAATCGACTTGCAAGAAGAGCTCTGGCTTTGTCCCCTGGGCCTGGGCAGGGGCATGGCTTAACAACCTGTTTTAACCAAATTGCTCTCAAAAAGCAGAAAGGAAAAAACTCTCTGGCAAGTCTGACCCTTGGGCATCTCAAAGATACAGGCACAAACTGTGTGAGATGCTGGCTTATATGAAAGAAAAAAAAAGGGAGAAACAAAGTCTCATTTGGGGAGTGGAAAATAAAGGAGGGAAGAGGACAGGCAGATCATCTGCTGGATGGTGGAGCTGGATTCAAACTGATCCCAATGCATGATGGCTCCAAACAGGACCCATAAATCACGCCCAGTGAGAGCAGTTTTCAGCTGGACTTCAGCATCCCCTTAGCCAGCTCCCTGCTGTGACCATACTCTGTGCTTGGTTTATTTGTTTAGGAGACTCTTTGAGGAAGGAAGAACATGGGAACTCACTGCACCTGAGGAACCAGACAAAATAATTAGCAACATCAGTGAAAATAAATTAAACATGCACCAAAAGAATGGGAAATCTTCATTCCCAGCCTCTGGACAACACTCTGCAATGGTGATGCTGGAGACAGAGGGTGATGTTAAACTATCCGTCACAACAAGAACATGGAAATTCCAGCGGCACCACACACATCTGCACAGATGGGAAAATTACAGTTACTGCTTTGGTGGTATGACAAGTAATTTTTTTGCACCCCAAAAAACAACTCTATAGTGGGAGGAATGTGTCAGCTGCAATTTTATCACTTAATGAAATAAATCAACCAGACGAAAAGAAGAGATGAGGATGAACCCACACAGTCTCATGGGAATACAAATCCACATGAAGCCAGCTGCTGGTGAGCAAACATCTTGTCTCGAAGATATTGGAGCCACCTTTGGGGTGACAACAACAAATTCCCCAAGTGGGGAAGCATCCTTGAACTTTCTCCAGCCTCTGGGGCTGAGGTTTCAGGAACACATGGCCACTGAGCTACAAAAAGGCAATTTCTTGATCAGCGGAGCAACAACCTCAGGGGACTCTGAATTGAGTCCCGCTCTTCCTGAGCATCCTGTTGGGATGCTGCTGTGTCTCCTAAATGGAGCAAAACTGGAAAACCTAGGAGGCTGATATCTGTAGGATGAGTGGAGAGTGGCAGCAGAAAGAGTCAGAAAGAAAAAGCAACGCAGAAAGGCTGGGAGAAACGTCATGGCCTAACCCGGCGAAGATGAGGAAACAATGCTGGCACTCACCAAAGTCTAAGTAGACTGAGTAAAACTAGAGCAGAAGAATCAGAGCAAGGTTTGGCTTCCACTCCCTTGTCACGTAAAGGAGGCAGCAAGTGTATGGCAGGTAAAGAAGGAGCTTTCCACAGCTGGAGCCCAAGACAGCCACCTTTAGCCAAGAATACGTAACACTGTCTGATAAGATAATCCCCAAATGCCCATAGCACCCATCTCTGCAGAATGGAGATTTTACAGCAGAAAATTGATTTTCAGAGGCTCCCTCATTAATTTTCATGGCACCCACAGTGTGGTTTTAGAACAAGCAGAATTATTAATGTTCAAAGTTACTTGAGCACTGTTGGGAACACAAGGCCCTCCAAGAGTCAAAGCGGGTCTGAAAAACTGGGGAAGTAAAAGCCAGAATTGAGCAGGTACATCCTTCAGGGCTCAGCTGGGCTTGCCCTCAGAGGCAGGCAGAGGGAGAAAAGCAGAAACCCTGGAGAAAATTCCCCGTGCCCCATTGATGGCTCTGCTGTTTGGAAGGGAAAAAATAGCACAGACATTTAGCTTTCAAAAGTGGGGAGAGCTGTCTAATTGACTAGTTCAGGGCTGCCCTGATTCTGAGCCACCCTCGGCTTCTAGGGAGAGGGACAGTAGGCAATTAGGAAGGCCTGAATATTCACAAGGGGTAGAGCTTGCTGGTGGCTGGCAATGATGCTCTTGCCCTTGAAATCACATCTGAGCTTTGGTGACATCTCAGCTAATTAATGAGAAAACCAGCCCAAGTCTCCCAGATTATTAGTATTAGCTCTGGGCAGACATAAACCAGTACCCCTAAACTATCCTGAATTATATCCTGGCTAACACAGGAGGGAGGATAGGAGCCAAACAGCTGCAAACACATCTCCATCTTGTTCTCCTCCGTCTGCCTTTGCACAAACATCCTCATTCCCAAGCATCTCTGTGCTTTTGGGCTGCCCCATGCCCATCTCCTGCTTCTGCCTGCCTCCAGCTATCCCTAATGACATCTACTGCTTCGTGTCTCTAAACACAAGATTCCACCACAGCAAGCTGGAGGATTTTGCTGTGCCAGGGGATACTCGCTGGCTGGCACCATATCATCTGTGATCTCGCCCCATTGGAGCAAGAGAAAATAAGTACCATTTGTTAACATGCCAATCGTTCTTTACACTGGCTGATTAAAAAATAATTACCCGCAGCCATTATTGAGCACTCTTGCAAATGAGCTGTGGGAAGCTGTGACCGTGCGCTCAGCACACAGTGTGCCTTGCCTGTTTCAATATTATTTTAATTAAGTATCTGGGTGAAAGGCCTTTCTAATGTAACTTTCTTTTCATCATCAGAGGGCAGGCCTCCACACTCACCTGAGAGGTGCCGGACTGGTGTAACCCAGCATCGCTTCAGGCTGCTTCCAGTGTGGTGGCACAGTGCAACCTACTGCTTATTCAAATTCAAAAGGAGCGACCTTAGGCAGACCCATGAGGAGAAGAGCTCTCGTCTACATCCCAGGGACATGGTTACAGCAGAGAGCTGGAAGGCATCACTAAGGCCTCAAACTGATTAGCTACGGACACATGACTTGGGCTGGGACGTGGACAGGGTTAGGGTTAGGAGGTGGAGGCAGTAGCTGAGGACATCCCTTATGCCTGGGAGACTTTGAGCTGGTTTTCTTGCCTGCAGAAGAGACCAGCACTGCTGAGGCAGGCTGGTCCTCCTGGATGGGCAAGAGCAGAGGGCCTCAGTGAGAAGAGGTCTGGGAGAGCTTCATCGCACTGCAGGATCACAGGCACACAGCACACCTTCACTTGCCATGGACTTTTTTATGTTCTTTTCACAAAACACTTTGCAAAAGAAAAACACAGAAGAGGTGGAGGAAAGCCCACGTATGCTGGTTGCCCATCCGCCTCCCACAGCTGCCTTTGTGCATGACTCAAAGCAGCCACATTAGGTAGTTCCACCTCATTCTTATTTACGTGTTTTCCCCTTTCTGCATCCCAGCTGGGGCTGTATTTAGCAGAGCACACAGTGACCGTGCTTTATTGGGGGGGCGGGGGGGGTGCCCTTTCACATGTGCTTACATTCTCTCATGTAGCATTTGAGCTGCAGCACTAGTTTCAATTATCTCTTGTTTGCAAGCAGATTAACTCAGCAAGCACATTTCAGATCTTCAAGCCGGTGTAAAACTAACAAACATTGCAGAGAAGAAATCGAATTACCACACAGATTCAAGCCATATGAAACGGCCCCAGAGGTTCCTCTTGATCTCCCAACTGTCTCTTACCTGTCAAAATTCCCTTGCCAGTTATTTCTATCAGGATAAAAAGAAGCTCCTGAGCAGGTAAATCCTTTCAGACCTGGCAACAAGGAATTGCAGTAGGGTTAGGGCTTGATGCTGAGCCTGGGGCTGGGTCCTTGCCACATGCACCATTTTGGAGGATGCAAAACCTGAAGAGTAGTAAGGTTATTGTACACAAGAAGAAAATTCTTCACAATGAGAACAATCCGCTATTGGAACAATTTCCCCAGGAAAGTGGTGGATTCCCCCGCACTGAACATTTAAGATTCAGCTGGACAGGGTGCTGGGCCATCTTGCCTAGACAGGGCTTTTACCAAGAAAGGCTGGACCAGATGATACTTGAGGTCCTTTCCAACCTGATGTTCTATGATTCTATGAAGACGTTGAGAAAGGTGCAGCTATAACAGGCTATCACAGCCCAAATTGCTTGCAGTGAGGTGAATAAATGATCTCTTACTGTTTCTTTGGCAGAGTCGGGCTGGTAGTCCTCTACTCCTGAAACAACACAGAAATGACATTGCTTTTTGATCAAACCAACCCATTTCCCCAACCAATTCTTCTTTGTGAGTTGAGAAATGCATTAATACCAGTAGACACTCCAGGAACCTGAAACCCTGAGCTTCAGACTTTGAATAGACAGGAAAAAAAAAAAAAAGAAAAAGAAAAATCAGAGGGGTTTTCCCTTGCCTCCCCAGAAACATATGTTCTCACCCGGCTTTTCTTGGCAGAAGTTAATAACACATTTCCCAAACAGCTCTAGTTTCTGCAGATGACTTCATTTCCCATCTCGGACACTGCTATGGCAGAAATCTAGGAGAACTGATTAGACCACATTAGGTTAGATAGGGAGCCTGGTGATGAAAAGCTGCTGCTGCTGTCTCTGCACCCATTTGAGACCATTAGTGACCTCCTTCCCTCTCACCAGGGATGCTGCCCCATTGCTGAATTCTGCTTTAAGTGTCTGCACCGTGTCTCTCAATTTCTTCCTGCAACCCACAATCACATTTTTCCCCTGTGTGCGCTTCCCCCACTGAGGTGAGCTCCAGGAAAACAGGAAGGAATTGCTGTATACATAGTTTAGCAACACACTTTGGGACCCCGTGGGATAAAGCTTGCTGGATCAGTGCACTTTACTATTATGAGGATGTTGATGAGTATCCTACTATCCCCTAAAAGCCAGCCTAGACATTTCCAAAGCCTCTTTTATTTTTTTAATGCAATAACACTTCCGTGTAGCTTTCCCCAGGTAATTGCTGTTTCCAGTGTAGTTTCATACTAGGTCACTCAGATAACCTGGAAAGAACCATTTGCCAGTCCCTCCTGTCTTCAGCATAAAGCTACTAAATCTTATTTGCTACCACATTAAGCTGGCTGAGAAGGGAGCAAGGGCTATGGATGCAGTGCAGTTTGCTCTAACAGTCCCCTTTATTTTATATTTCCTTGGATAATTTCATGGTCCATTAATTTCCTGTAGTTGCTCCCTGCAAACACACACACGTCACCATGGTGTGTAAGTCTCCTGCTTGCTAGCACAGGGACCAGGCAGATTACACAAGTAGTGGTTACACCTGCTCTGGAGGCACAGAAAAAGTGTCTCACCTGCATCCAGTGCAATGCAGAGATGCTGATGTCCACTGCAGTTGGTACATGTGAAATGCAGATGTGCATGCACTGAACTGAACTACTGGGTGAGGGCTGGCCCAGATTGCCCACGCCCCAGCACAGCACGGTTTGTATGACACCCATCTGGCAGAGGCACAATGTAGAAAATACACTAGGGAAAGCATGGCAGAGGAAGCAGAGGGTGCATTCCCCTCCAGCCAGGCCCTCAGCTAGAGCAGGAGCATCCCATCACACTCCACAGGCAGAGCAACATCTGACCAGCCCCAGCTCATAGCAGCTCACCCCAAGCAGCCTACAGGTCGCAGTGCCCACAACATCCCGCTCTTGCAAAGAACGCAGCTAAAGCCTCATGTAAGACTGCTGCACTGGAATCCAAGACAAAATCTTTCCCTTATTTTTAAATCATCTGGTGGAAAAAAAAGAAACAAATCTGTGCATGAGGACTTTGCAGCTGCATTATGCTAGTTAGTTCTGAAACTTGTGGAATTAGGGAGCCGCTTCCTGGCAGCAAAGTCTGTGCCCAGAAGCTGCAAACCTGAATTTGCAGGGAGAGATGATTCTGTCCCCCAGGAAGAGGCTGGGGGCAGCAGGATGGGCAGCCCTTCTGGACAGGCACAGTGTGGGTGGAGGGGACTGATAAGACTGATGTCTCTCCAAAATGACAGCTTGCTTGGAGTTCGCTTTCTCTCTCGGACAATTGAACTTCGACAAAAAGAGCCGGAACAGAATGTGAATCCTGCCTAGAAAGGAAAAAAACAACAAACCACAACCCCCAGCAGAACAAAGGGAGGGAGGCAGACTTGGTGGATCTAAAACACAAAGAAATGTTATTCATGGGCATTATTGATTAAGTTTTCCTCACCAACACATACGTAAATACTTATCTCTCAGATGAATAAGAGGCTCTGTAATGCTGGAGGGAAGAAGGGAAAAGATTATTGAAAATGTGAGGGTCAGAGAAGCATCCAGCTGCAACGGATGCATTGAGAAGATAAACAAAGACATCTTTGCCAACACACTGGTCTGCCAAAGACCAAGTGTGATAGAAGGCAGCGATTTTCAGGCACTAAAAGCAATGCTTGGGCTTTGATAACAGTAAAATAGAGATTATGGAGCAGATCCTCACCTGGGTTAATTCAGTGCCAGGGCTCCAATCACAGGGCAACTAGACTGATTCACATTGTCTGAGGATCCTGCTCACTTTGGACAAAGCAGCCCATTAGCAGAAGGGCAGAAGCAGAGATTTATGACAACCTCTGTAGGGCAGGAACAAAAGGGAAGAGCAACCATGAGTGGGATCAAAGGAGAGAGAGGAGAAACGGGCTCTGACTCATCAACACCCCCAAACCCGCCTGACCCCTCGGTATTACCCCATCCCCAGTACTGCCTTGCCTGCTGCCACACGGTGGAGCACATGGGTCCTTGTCTGGAAACAGCTCCTGCTGAGGCTGGCTGAGTTAGCAAACATGCCAAATCCAAGACTAGATCTGCCCCATGAGCCAAACCCAGTGTCTCATGTAGCACCATGCAAAGCAGGTTTGGCAAGCAGAGCTGAGACCCCCAAACACCCTAAGGGTGCAGACAGGAAGGTTTGGTGCATTTGGTGATATCAGCCTTGAAGCACTGGATACCTCTGAGGGCTATGAGGGACCATCAGGATCATCTGTTCTGGCATCCAGCAACCCTGTGGGATCAGCTCGTGCATCCTGCCTGCAGTCCGTGGCTTCATCACCATGACTTGCTCTCCAGGCAGCAGGACTGTCTCAGGGACATATTCAACCTGCTTAGCAAGCTCAGGTCTGACTTGTCTACATCTGTATCTACATCTGCCATGAGGGGAACAAACAGTGGGCAGTGTTCAGGCAGGATTTCCACTGACCAGGACATTGCAGCTAGTGTGCTGACAGTGGATGCCCAGCAAGGAGTTAAGATGAGGCCAAGCCCCCCCCAGCACTGGAGCACTCAGCAAACACCAGCACAGGCGTTGGGCTTGCATAGGTGTGCAAGTGCAGGATTGAGGGTGCACCAGGAGGCACCACAGATCCCCCAGAGAAGCTCTGCTGCTTCAGGCCAGCTCCAGCCATCATGTCTGCCCAGCTGTACAGAATGAGCTCAGGTCTGCAGCTATTCCACACACACAGGGTTTGTTTCTACCCCCTCGTGTGGCAGCAGGCAGAGCCAGACACTGGCCCTGAGCTGCAGAGGTGGCTTGCCATCAGCTAAGCCAGCCATTTCCATGCACCGCTTTGTGCCTCAGTTTCTCCGTCTATAAACAGGGACACAAGTGACACCCCTGAGAGCAGGCTTGCTGTGGCTCCTGCTCAATCCACTCACAGAAGGATAAAAAAAGACTTCGTGGCTTTTCCTATCACTTTCCCCCAGCGTCTAAAACACAGGCAGCAGCGCTGCTGTTAGCCCCAACGAGCAACGGCTCAGGAGCTGGAGCAGGGCAGCCTCTAGTGGCTGCACGCCAGGAAATACCGGTCCCCAAACCCGTGTTTAGGGAGCGTTTGCTCTTCAAAGCAGCTGGCCTGAATAAACCACAGCCTGTGCTGCTCCATTGCCCCAGAGCCAAGAAGTCCTCGGGCTCCCCGTCCCTGGTTTACATCTTTGCCTCCCTGCTGCTCACACATTGCTCCCATTTTCTCCTCCAAAAGCCTCCAATCCCATGGGCTTCTGCTCTGCCCGTGCAACCACAGGTACCAAAAGCAAATGTGTCCCAGATCTCATGAATGTGCCACACGACATGTCTACAGGGCTCATTAGCATCACTGGAAATAGCTCCAGCCCTGGTGCATTTGGCCATGCAGCTGACTGTGGTTAGCTGCTGGATCTGCAGTACAGTCTCCGATTGCTGGAGCTGACTATTGATAGCAGATCCATTCAAATTCATGAATGCCCCATCTGGAAAAGCACGGCCTTTTCTGCTGCAGGGTGCTCTGGCCCTAGGAGATGCACACTGGCCTCCATTGCTTGGGAAACAAGGCTCCCCTGGCCTGTCCTGGGAAGGGAAGCTCAGGAATGGAAAGACCAGTCCTACTCTTAAAATTGCATCTATGGCCAGAACTTCCAGTGTCCCTTTTGCTGTCTTGACCTACCTCTGCTGACAAAACTTTGTCTTCCAGGTGGAAGGCTCATGCTCTACAATCATCCCACAGCTCCATCATAAGGCCTTCAGCTTCCCCTCACACAGGACATGAAAATGAGCAATACAAGCCAGGTGAGGAAAAAATCCTCCTGGCTGCCTCCAACAACCACTTGGCTTCACCTCAGTACATCTCCGCTCTCTGCCTCATCCCAGTTTTACCGGTGAGTCAGAGCTCTCCATCTAACGGTTGAGCATCACACTGGGGGTGAGATAAGAAAGGCAAGCAAGGACCAGGCTGTCTGTGGGACATATCAGAGGACAGACACCTAGACACAGACATGTAAATCAATTGGAGAGTGGGTAAAACAGAAGAGGAGCTCTTTAACACACCAGTGTGGGATGGTTACTTGCCACAAGTTGGACAGAATGTTTTCCTGCCCCATGTTTCAGGGTGATGACCAGTAACATGGCACAGCATCAGCACAACAGGCTGTTTAACTGCTGGCTGCTGATTCATCAGTTACGCAAGAAACAGTTTAAATGCAGTTTATGTCAATAATTCAGGCAGCAGTTTTGCTTTTAGAACTTCCTAAAATGAAAAAGGGTTGGAGAGAGAAATCAAGCAAAGAAGTCTCTCTGTAGCAAAGAGACCCACGTGCATCTTAAGTTGCATGCACCCAGGGACCTAGCAGCATCCTCCTGCCATGCTCCCACTGCAGCTGCTGGAGATCCATGTCTGCCATCAACCTCCCCACCACATTTTGTTGGAAGAGTTCAGATTGTGGTGTAAGATTCAAGGACAGGGCAAGGGTACATCCAAAAGTAGAAACAAGGAAATGTGTTGGGGACTGGCAATATGGCATATCAATCCTCTTCATGAACGCAAGGTTTTCCTCCCCACCCTTGTCTTTGACCATTTCACTAGGAGATGCAGTCTGCTAGCTAAGCAGTGCTGGACCACAGGCAGCCATGCAGAGCATCAGAGACTTTTGTGTTGATCGGGACATCACATAGAAAGTCTTTAGCTGCAGCAGGGCCAGACTGTGTGTCTCCCGGACACTTGATATTTATGTTATGGGATAAACAGTTCCCAGTCTACACATTTTTATGCATATTGTTGTTCCCTAACTACAGAGGAGACCCTAATCTTGCAGGGGCAGAAAGCATAGAGTCTCCTAGCTAGGAACAGGAGTCAGTCAAGTTCAGGTTTGAAATACTGGGAAGAGGGTGAAGGTGATTACCAGTTAGGATTGGATTACTATGGGGCTGAGAGAATCCTCTGTTAGAGGCTTAGAGCCCAGACAGGCTGGGTTCCATCTGTGTAACATGAATCACTTGGCCAAAACCAGCCAGGGAGCATGGACATATCAGAGAAATTTTTGCTTCCACCTGCTGAATATCACCTTGCTCCTTTTGACTGTTTCTCCCTTTTGTCTAGGGAAAATAGAAGCTGTAATTGTCCAAAAGCCTTGTGGGATTATTTCTTAAAACCCTAGATACTTCACTTATATATAAATATAGCTACTCTGTAACTAATCTTTTCTGAAATAATTCATTATTTCAAAGGTATGACACTTCAGAGTGACAGATTACAGCTGCACTCCCCAGAAACTGCATCATGGGCAAGATAAGGCAGGACAATGGCCAAACAAGCCACTGAACAAACTGGCTGGGTTATATGGGATGAGATAAGAGGAAGACAGGGACAAGATACAACCTTTTATCCTCTGCATTCACAGAGACATTTGTCCCTTTTTCAGTGAAGCAGACCTTCTCCAACCAGCAGAACCTGCAGCAAACAACCTGAGCCTGCCTCTGCCTGGATGGTTTTGATGTCAAAGGCAGCTAAGCAAAGGGGGAGGCTGTTTTCATCCAGACCTCTGCTCTGCCACCAGGAACACTTGACATTGCCTGTGCTGGCTCTTTGACAACGAGGCAATGGCAAAATTAATGGCTGTGCTTCTGAAAGGGATTTAAACATTAATAATGAAGGCAGGGGGACAGCTCCGCAAGGCACATTAGCGTTATTCAGGGCTCTATTCACCTGGGATGATTACAAAAGGGCCCTCTTGTGACAGGGACCCATCTATTGGTAGTGGGATGGAGAGGTGAGAGAGCCTGTGCTAATCTTTCTGTAACTGTACCAAACTGACCCTGTCTCCCCTTCATTCCCTTTCCCCAAAGCCATAGTGGGTCCAGGTATTTGGTTTCTCAAGAGCATGGCAAGATTTTGTGTTGAACCCACATCTCCCCCAATGTTGCACAGCTTTCCAAGTCACAGACAGATTACCTGATGTGGTCTCAAAATCTGCTCTTATTCCAAAGCTGTGTGTTTGGCTGTAGAAAACTAGAGAGAAATTTGTCTTGAGCGAAACAGGAAAGGGGCCAACACAGTTTTGTTTCCATCAGAGAGGCTGTCAAACTGTTCACAGGAGGAGCAGGAGCTGCATCCAACTCCCCCTGTTCATCCAATGACAGCACTGGGGCAGAATAAAGTCAGAAAGCCAGTGGTCATAGGGTCTACCAGCTCCCACAGCGTCCTCCCCTGCCATCAAGGCCAGCTCCTTCCCCCACTCAGTAAGACAAATTACCCAAGCAGCCGTTCCCCACTCAACCTACAGAAATGTTGCAGAAAAATTAGCTTCTCAGTAGGCTGGTTCAGACATTATCAGCTCACTTATCCAACACCTAGATATCTCCAGACATTCAGAGACAGCGTATTTGGCTCCTTGTTCATTATCTGTACTGCACTGTGGGTGGAGGCATTCAAAGACAAGACCTCCTGGCCCAAATCAGATGAAGTGTGCCCTCTGAGTTCTCCTTACTTACTTTCTGGTTGCTGAACTTCTGACTTTGATCTCAGACCACAATTTTCAAGCTGTTTTCCATGATTATGAAGTACAGAATGTCCTTTTCTGTACTAAAAGCTTACAGCGGCAAGAATCCATTCGAATCCAGAATCTGAAGCTTTAGAACAAATGTCCATTCTTGCAAACATCACAATAAAATTATGTGAGCCAGCAATACTTGAAATAACACCCAATTTATCCTCCTATTTCCCCTGTATGATTATGTCTTTCATTTTGCTGGGGTAGAGAACCTTGAAAACAAATGAGTCAGTTTGATTTTTGTTTCACAGAGAAGTTAATTTCCTGGCTCCTTTGCTCA